AATTCATTTCAAAATCTAAAACCATCCGATGATCATTCTAACGTTTTTAACTACAGGCTCATATCAGTGCTTTTTGTATTTTCAAAAATATTCGACCCTCTAATTTACAATAGAATCATAGATTATTTTACTAAAAATATATTATTTTATTCAAAATAACTTGGATTTCAGAAAATTTGTTCAACTGAACATGTTTGTATTGAATAAGTAGATCAAATAAATAATGGCTTTTGCGAAAATAAAGTTACTTAGGTATATTTATTGTTTTATCAAAGGTTTGACACTGTCGATAATTGAATTTTGATAGAAAAGTTGAAAAATTATAAAGTAATTAATAAAGTCTACTATTGGATTAAAGTTACCTCATTGATAAAAAAGCATTATGTTCTAAATCAACTATGCAGAAAACTTAAAATCACGAGTGAGGTCTGCAAGGATTGATACTTTGTCCTCTTTTTTTCTTAGATTATATATATGACTTTGTTAATGCATTAGTAAAGTTAAACCCAAGTATGCTCCCAGTTGAAAAAAGCTTCTTTTTTTAACAATAATATCAAACAAATTTATGCAGACATGAATATTGAAATAAGTAAATAAGTAAAATATATAATAAATAATATATAATAAGTAATAATAAGGAAATAAGTAAAATAAATGACTGGTTTATAACAAACTCTCATTAAACGTCGAAAAAACAAAGTATACTTTGTTTCATGAAAAAATGCAAAAAGAAATTCTTTCCTTTAAATTACCAGCCCTATTTTAAATAAGCAAAACTATATAAAGTTTTTTAGGAATACTTGTTGACAATAATTTATCTTGGTTTGCCCATATTACAAAGTTAAAATCAAAAGTTAGTAAAACCATTGGTGTGATGTACCGAGTTCGTCCATATGTAAATACAGTTTGTCTAAAGTTATTATACTTTTCTTTCTTTCTTTATTCTATTAATTATGCTATTATAACATGGGATAGTAAGCAACCAAAAAAACTTTAAAAAAAATACTTAGTTTGCAAAAACATGCGTCTAGATTTTTTTTCGGGAAAAAAAGAGAGGAACACACTAAACCCTTAATTAGGTATATTAAAGTTTAGGATGTAGACAAAATATCTTTTTATCAACACCTAATTTTCATGAATAATTATAACAATGATTTAACTCTGGCTAATTTAAGAAAAGATTTAAGAAAAATATAAGTGAAAAGTATTTCTTAAGAACAAATTATATCATAGTCCTTCAAATTGCCAAAAAAATTAAATAAATATACAAAATATTCAATGGCATATCGTGAACCTAAGTATTGAATTTCTTTCCAAAAAATTAATGCAAATATAAAAAAAAATCATGAAACTTATTTAAGCCCCAAGCAAAGAAACACGCATTGAATTTTGAGGAATTATAACATAACCCTTTTGTAAATTTATTCAAATGATTTTTATTCTTAAAAGTTACTAATGATATAATATGATATAAAATACTAATGATATAATATGATTTAAAATTTTACATTGAAAGACGCATTATGCGTCTTTTTATGTATAATTTTTTACTCTTTCTGTATATGCTTGTATAGGAAAAAGGTTACTATATCTGTCCAAAAACATCAGAAATTTCATTGATGTCTAATAACATATTTAGAAAGATGTAATTACACCCGGAAATTTTTCTCGATGTGTAACTACATCCGCCTAAAATAATGCATTATTAAATAATATAAATTTCCGGAAGTAGGTACATCCGAAAAAAATCAGTGACTTAAAGTATTACATATCGAACATTATTATAAGCAAAATAATTTTTTTGTTTATAATAATGCATTATAATGCATTATTATGAACAAAAAAATTATTTTGCTTATAATAATGCATTATAACAATTTTATTTTTTTGGCTGATCTATTTACATCCGATAAAAGTCAGATGTACAACTTCATCTGGTTAAAATAATGCAATATTAAAAAATATTTTTTTCGGATGTAGTTACATTCCAGAAATCTTCAGATTCAGATGCATGGATGTTATTATACATCAATGAAATTTCGGATGTTGTTCAAATTTTGTTGCAAAAACAATGACATAGCAAATGCGGATGTTGTTACCCTGACTCGTTTGTATGTTTTTCAGCTTTTTTGAATACCTAGCTTTGAAATATAGTTATTGCAAAATACCATTGTAGCTGTAAAGATAATTTGCTTTCTGACTATCTTCAGATTATTTTATATATTTTTTTTTTATTACTGTTAAAATTCTATCTGAAAAAATTTTATTATATAAAGGGGCTCTATAAAAATATTAAAGGGATGTTGTATTATTCAAATCCTCTTTGAGTCCCCGTCTATTTTTAAAATACTTTGTTTACTGATAAACACCATTTTAAACTCATTTATAACTTATTTTATTCGCGAAATATAAAATTAAAAAAAAAAAAATCATTTTCAAATGACTTTTTTTATTTTCACTGAGTACTATCTATGCTTTAATTCTTGTTAAAGAGCTTGAATCAAAACATAGATAGTACTCAGTACACTATTTAATTATCCATGCAACTGCCTTGTTACTATTAATGAACCTAAGCCATACCAAAGGGCTCTAAATGTAGCCTTAACAATTCATACTAAAAGTACAAACAGAGACACCATTCATGCGCTACTTTAAGAGCTACCACTGAGTTTGGGAAACCTGACTACCAGCCGGCCTCAGAACCATAAAACTGTGTTTTAGAGCTGTATTAAGAGATAATACCCGACGGGCATTTGTTTTTAAAAGTTACGATCTAAATATATTAAATGTCTTTTAAACGTCTTTTAAACATTAATGTTTAAAAGACGTTTAAAAGACATTTAAAACACATTTAGAACGTAAATTTTAAAAACAAATGCCCGTCGGGTAGAATGAGTTGCTTGTCATAAAAACAGAAACAAAAACAAATTTTATGCATCGAGTCAAGAAGATCCAGCATTTAACATCCTAAACTGGAAACAATATATTAAAAATATATCCGCACCAGCCTAATAGATAAATAAGGAAGGCGAGGCTGCTCAACGGATAGAACCTGTTTACTCCTTAAGCCTTTTCTTAGGAGGCCTTCTACAAGACAGTAGCTGGATGGGTTTAACATCTGCCCAAGATGAGTATTTTTATCGAGACTCCATTTTTACCCTTTAAAAACCCAAGATTTCCAAGGCAGGGGGTGTTTTAATTTGAAGTTGGTTTCTCCTAGTCTTTGCCTAAAAATGCGTATCCTACACGCAGCATATTATAAAGCAGGTTGTACTGGGTTACATGTAATCAGAAGCATGATAATCTGACATGACTTTATGGCTCAATTCAGCTATAATTATAAGATTTCAATTAATAGATTTTATTGATAGTTTATGTTTTACAAACGGATTTTACACATTTTATGCTTTTTTGTTATATAGCATATAAAATAATTATTTGTTTTCAATATTGTATTATATATTTTTTTTCTATAACAGTTTTATACTTTTTTATCTTTAAAATTGTTTGTTTATAAACAAAACCAGGACTCAGGAAAAATCTGTGTGCATGCATATGTGTTAGAAGGTAGGATTTCTATACAATTGATGAGAATTGCAAACTAATTTAAAATGTTGTTGAACCAATTTACAGTTAAATAGGCGAAAGATTTTATAACTTAACAAAAGATGTTTTTTTATTTTGTCATAAAAAAAGAAAACCAACAAATATAGTAAAACTTTTACTGCAATAAGATAAATATGCAGACTAACCGAGTGAACAGGATTTTTTTTGTATAGAAATAATACTTGCCAGTATGGTTTCTATACAGATCATGACAATGCCTAAATTTAATCAATGGCGCATTGCAATAATTATTATGAAAAGTTCGTTTATTTCATTTACGAAAAACATATTAACTTCAGAAAAAGAAAAAACATTCATTCACTAGATTACACAAAACCTTTTTATTTGAATATTAATCTGGAAACATTTCATGTAAAAAGTTTCAGTGTGGAAACACGCCATTTTTGTAAAGAATCTATAACGGTGATAATAAAGAGGATATATCACTCAGTTCTATGTTACTTGGCATGTTGAAATAATTGTTTTTTTCGAAATTTTTATTGAGGCAACATGTAGTTTTATATAAAGAGTGTTTAATCAATTAGATTTTTTGAAAAAAGCAGATAATATGGCGTTATTTGATTCTTTTTTAAAAGTTCGTATCTCGACTTTTTTTATAGTGTTTCTATACCATACGTTTATTAGAAATTGCTATAACAAAACCCTTATGAGATGAATAGACAAAAAAAACTGCATAGCATTAAAGATGACACAAAAATACTTTGGAAAAAAATATAATGTTTAACAAAATAAAACATTTGTAATGTATTATGCAAAAGTGTTTAAACTTTTGCATTAATTTAAAACGGAGTAATTTTTGCAACTAAACAATTTCTAGTCAAAATAGTTACAAATACACAGTAGAAAAAGTGCAAAATATTCTTTCTCTTTTCAACAGGATATTTGTGCAAGTGAAACGAGTAAGTTACTTTTCTAGTTTTTTAAGATTAGTGTGCTAGCTACATACTTAAATAAAATTTAACTGTTTCACAGCAAATTTAAACTTGATAACGACAATTATAGAAACACGAGTCAAACGTCACATTTTGTGCGCTTTAAATTAAAAAACCTCACATTTTGTGCGCTTTAATCTTTAAAAAATACTTTATTTTTAGATTATGTTGATGTCAAGAATGTAATCTAAACAATTTCAGAACTATTGATGCAAAAACTATAAGATTATCGTCAACCGTTGTAAAATAGGAATCTTCAGTAAAAAGGTAGAGTTTTTATACAGAAACTCGATGATTATGATAATGATGATGATGATGATAATCATGATGGTAATGATGATAAATGTTGTTAATGTAATTTTTAATACTAATATTATGTATGTTGACCCATGTAACTTAAGGTGTAAAACAACTATAAATATTAGGTAATCTTTAACCTACATCTTTTTGTTCGCTTTTGTTTTATAGAAACTTCATCAACTTGGGACTTCAGAGTGCGAAGTTGTACATCCTGTAAACACTGTCGTGCTGATTCTAAGACTGACACCCCAGCTTTAACTATACCTACCTAGATAAACAAAAATTTAGGAGTATTTGAATAATCAAAATATAACACATATTTATACATATGTATATATATATATATATATATATATATATATATATATATATATATATATATATATATATATATATATATATATATATATATATATATATATATATATATTATATATATATATATATATATTATATATATATATATATATATATATATATATATATATATATATATATATATATATATATATATATATATATATATATATATATATATATATATATATATACATACATATATATATATATATATATATATATATATATATATATATATATATATATATATATATATATATATATATATATACATACATATATATATATATATATATATATATATATATATATATATATATATATATATATATATATACATAAATAATGTATTAATATGGTAAAAAAATAATAATACAAATACTTTTGAGTGTTTAAGAGCGCCCAATACTATTAAATAATAGAGCAATATTTATTTATTCATATAAAATGAATTAAAACAACTTTTTGCAAATATAGTTAAATAATTATTAAATTATCATCAAAGAAATTGACAATTATCTTAATGTAACATTAATCTTGATTAACAGTTCTTATCAACCATACCGTTCTCCTAATAACCAACTTAAGTATTTTCATTCTGATTTAAACCATCCACCTAATATAATAAAAGAACTCTCTCTTACTATTGAATTAAGATTATTAATTATGGCAATAAATAAAACTGTATTTAATAATCAGGATATAATTCAAAGCTCACTTAGCAACTGCAAACAAATAAAAATCAAAAAAGATATCGCAAACGTAAAATTATATGGTACAACCCCCCGTTTAGTAAAAATGTTGAGACTAAAATCGGAAATTGCTTTTTAACCTACACTTTCCAGTAGGACACAGGCTTATTAAAGTTTTTAATAGAAACTATGTTACCTAAAGATGAGAACCTTTAATGAATGCACATAACAACAAAATTTTACAACGCGATGAAAATACAAAATCAATAAAATACAAAGGCATAGATAAATAAACTTTTCTAGTAAAAGACAAATGCCTGTCTGACAATATTGTATCTCAAGCCATTGTTAGTTCTTGAGATTCTGAATTCAAAAATAACATTATTTTTGGTGTAAGTGAAACCGCATTTGAACTAAATTATGCCAACCATCTTAAATCTTTTAATGCACCCAAAAAATAAAAATCACACTAAATTTTCCAAAGTAATATGAAAACTAAAATCTAAAACCATAAATCTTATGATTACATGGGAGATAATAGCACGATGTAAGCCCTGCAATCAAGCATCAAAGGTTTGTAATCTTTGTTTCTTTGAGAAGTTTCATATATTATCATACAGAGGAGAAAATTTACTCAATAAAATATATGAAATAATATCTAAGTGATTTAATATTCAAAAATAATATTTAAAGAAATTTTACTTTCTTTTTCGACATAAGTGACTAAAATCACTGACGTCATTTTGTTTTTGTTTTGCTTTTGTAACGTCAGAACTCTTTCCACCGTAATTTTAATTTGTAATTTTCAAACTGTTTTTCAGTGACGAGTGATGCACAACGGCTGATAAGATATAACTTTTTTAGCCTAATTTAGTATTAAAAGACAACATTACTTAGTTAGAAAAGGCGCAACAGCGTCCAAGCAGTCATCAATAAGTTCAAAGTTGGTCTAAATTTGTTGCTGTGAATCATTTTAAGTTTTGCAGGAAAAAATTGAAAGTTTCTTTAAATTTTTTAGCAAATTTTCTACCGGATTTTGATTTTTTATTTTTTTATTTTTTTGCTTCTTTATTTAAATGTATTACAGTATTAGTCGTTTTACAATCATAATAGTTTCAATAATATAATAGAATGGTTACAAGAATAATTAAGTTTGTAAAAAGAAGAACGCGGAATCTCGTAGAAGACATTGAGGTATTGCTGTCGAAAATAGCTTTGTTTTTCAACTACGTCGTTACATTTATTGCGTTAAGTACGTATATTTTTGTCGAAAGTAAAAATAAATAAACGTAAAAGACAAATAAGGTTCATACATATAAATACTATAAATACTAAGAATTGAATTTTAAAAATTTTACTTTTTAATAATTAAAAAAATAAAAGTATGTTACCGGTAGATAAAACTGTCCGTTCATGTTTTCTTTTAAATGTGTTTTCTACTCTTGAGTAAAATCTTGTTCTAGTCTTGAGTAAAATTCTAATCTTGAGTTCTAATCTTGAGTAAAATCTAATCTTGAGTTCTAATCTTGAGTAAAATTCTACTCCAACAATCATATAACAACAACCATGTTTTACGGTCTTTAGAAAAACCCATGGGTTAATTTCTTAACTTTGGGGATGAAAAGTATATTGTTTATGATCAGATAAAAACTTTCAAACTTAGAGTTTTTAGTCCATAGCACGTTTTTTCAAAAAGGAAAAACCTTAAGAACGCATTGTTTTTCAAACGTCAAACAGCTAACAAAGTTTTATTTTGATACTAATATTTTTTTAAGGGTAATCCCTCCATATAGCATATTTTCAAGTAATCGACTTTTAACAGCGCGGACAAGCAGATTTATTAAAAATTTTTAAGCAATTTGTTCTTTAACTTTTGGTGTATTAGCAAAGGATTCAGCCAACCTATACATCTTTTGTAGGATATGTTTTTTGTTCTCAAGAATTGCATTTTTTTTTGCTTAACGAACCAATATCGCTAGTATTGTTGAATTACCAGCATTGTTAAAAAAATCAATAGCATTAATAATATTTATACGAGAACAACCCAATCTTCGAGCTATTTAGAGTTGTTTAAACATTGATCTTGAAATACCAAAGCCAGTTTTCCAAAGACATTTTCTAAATGTTTAATAAGGTAAGCTCTCTTATCAAGCCTTTATTCCGACGGCCTCCTTTAATTCCAAAAACATGAAAAAGACAATTCATTTAGTTCAAGACAGTCTGCCCAAACCCAAACGCTCAGTCAATGTATGCACACTCGCTATACCAATGGCTAAATAAATCAGTCGATGTATGTACAAATCGAAGCGCCTATCTATATATATCTCATTTTGCTTATTCCCAAAAATCATAGTTTTCGGACGTCAAGGATGCTCAATGTTAAAATAGTGGTTTGAAAAGAAAGACCATTTAACAAGCCCAGTAGTTTTTTAGTAATGATTTTATAACTATAAGAATTATAAGAATATCCTTAAAACACTAAATTTAACAAGTTTGTTTTGATATAATACAGGCGTTTAGAAATTCTTTTTTATTTAAAATGAAAATTTTTTTATTTAAAATTGTATAAAAAATTGTTTTGACAGTTATATATGATGAATAAATTGTTCAATTTAAAAAATTAAACGCTATTGATGCTAAAATAAATAACAACTGCTTTAAAAACACAAAATTTGTTATTAAAAGAAAAATTAACTAGTAATGAAAGTGAGGTATATATGTTGTTGCCACTACCTATGTGTATATGGCTCTAAAAGATCTTTAAAATCATACAAACTGCTAAAGAGCAGAGGCAGATTAAGGATGTTTGTGGCCAAAAGCGCAAGAAATAATAGGCATGTAGAAAAAGTGATAGGCATGTTGCAATTAATAATTCAGTCGCTTTTTAAAAAATGAAGTGTTTTTTTTTCTGGATTTTTGTATGACAAACTGCTCTACATCATTAAATAAAAATATAATCAAATGAGAGTTGTGTGGTCACCACAATTTTAATACACATCAAAAAAAACTTATTGAGCTTATCAAACAATGAATGCAACAAACCAACCGCTTAACTTAAATCTAAAGTGGCATCTTGTAAAGCCAGACTTGTTTTATTGAATATTTGCAGTATCGTGTCCTAAAGACAGTCAAATTACCATTTTCGCATTCAACATTACGTTTTACTTTGCCAAGCACCTCTTGTCGAGTTTTACCTTCTGTATCAGGAGATCAAATATTCTTGTAATCTTTCCGCAAAGCACTTGTTGCATCAGTATATGTTGACCAACGTGTGTCTGATAGTTTTTTGTCGATTGTGTCTTATCTTTGGTCATTTTGTCCAACGATAAGTAGAGGCACTGAAAAATGTGAAGATCCGTTGCGGAATATCAAAAAAACCAACTGCTGCAGTACAACAAAGGAATGGGCTTGCACTACAACATGGAGATAGGATGCACTTCAGCATAGGTTCTTTTGCTTACCTTTTTTTTACTTACACGAGTAAGTTGATTTTTATCGAAAAGCAAATCACATGTTTAGTAATTTTAAAAAAGTAATTTTAAAAGTTTAATCTAAAGTAATTTTAAAAGTTTAATGTACATTTAGATTTCCATGTAAGTATTTAATTTTTTTGAAACGACTTTTTCTTTATAATCTAAGCTTTTTTAATTTTAAAAGTGATTAATGTAAAAAAAGATTAAATTAAAAGTAATTTACTTTTACATGTAAGAGTAGGTCACATGAAAAAACTCTTCACTTTTAACATGTAAAAGTTAATTACTTTTTAAAATTACTTTACATAATATAAAAGTTCCTTACACTTTAATTTACATTTACGTATAAAAGTAACCATTCAAAAAAAAATAAAAAAAAAACTTGCATATAAAAAATAAATTACTTAAATATAATATGCTATCAAACGTAAATTAAATTTAAGAATAAAATAAAATTTTTTAAGTAGGAATTTTTTATTTCAAAAGTAAAAGCAAATTTTTATTAAAAATAAATTATATAAATTAAAATTTAAATTGCATAAGCTTACATTTAATATAATTTGTTAAGTAATTTAAAAGTAAATTTTATAAAATAAGTACGTAAATTTACTTATATTTTACAATAACTTTGAGAGGATCTTGTTGTATAGTAATGCAAAACAAAAGTCTAGAACTCACACAAAGCTAAAACATGGTAGTAAGCAGAAGGCGCATGTACCCATGGAGTCTCAGAAAGGGTTAGT